ATAACCATCTTAGTGCCCATGAAGAATCATTGTGCAAAGGATAAGGATTTTCCTGTTTTCTCTCTACCCAGAACATGAGACTAAATTACAGTACTAATTCAAGTTAGGAGCAAGAAGGTATTCTGTGGCATAAGGACTCTTGAATACCCCCTTTTCTTGTTTTTAAGGACATATAACTATGTAGAGGTGGTCGGTGGTTTAGCTGTGGTGTTCTTCAGAGAGACCTGCCAACCAATCTATTACATTTTCATTCTCAAGACTTTATTTACTTAATAATAGGGTTGCTTTTATACCAATGACCTGGAAGATGAGCTAGTGATTTTTCTAGACATCTTGAGTCTTCTGTGATAATGAAAGATTTTCCTTTCACTCCTCCAGTCCATCCTTCTCCCTCTTGCTCTTCTTTGGCAGTCTTCCACCTAAAAATATCTCAGCTGTGCACATAGTGTGCTTGTTAGGATCTAGAATGAAGACTTAGATGCTTTTACCTAATAGGCTTCTGGGATTGCTTGCTCTTCTGGGCCCTCTGTGGTTCTCAGAGGCTGCTAAGTGCAAGGCCGTAACGGTCTAAGTATTTAAAGAAGTTCAAGATACAGTCAGGCCAACATCATCTTTTACCTGATATTCTGCAGCAGTCTTCTAATTGGCCAGTCTGCCACCTGTTTTGTTTTCCCATTCCCCACCTATTCTCCACACTGTGGCTACAGTGATTTTCCCAATATTAAAATCTGATGTATCCCTTACCTGCTTAAAATCTATCAGGGGCTCCCTGTTGCCCTTAGGAAGGGTCTAAATTCCTTAGCATGGCTTGTAAGTCCCTCAAATGGTCCAGCTCCTGCTTTCATCTACAGCCCCATCTCATCATTCTTCCCTAACATGCTCCAGCCAGACTGAACTTGTTATGGTTCCCAGACAGATCACACCCTTTGTTACCTCCAGACCTTTGTATATACTATACAAAGTTTATGTCTGGGATACTCTTCTCTCATTCTCACTTCTCTTCTGAATAACTATGACTCCTCCAGATCAGTGGCTCTTAACCATTATGCATCAATCTGATGAAAACAATGGACTTTATCTCTGGAAGAGCAAACCTGTGCTCTTGTGTGCTCATCATTTTGCATGCAGCTTTAGGGTGCAGGAATCCCTGGCTTGAGGACCTTTAAAGCTAAGTCCCCATTTCTAACATTTGACATCTTTTGCATTTGTTGGTTTTCTTGTCTCTCTCTCCACCAGACTGAGCTCCATGAGGGCAGGGCTGTGACTTGTTAACCACTGTATTATCTGGGCCTAGCACAGTGCTTGACACATGAGGACACATCTGATACATGTTTGCTGAATTGAATAAATGAACAAATATCTGCCCCTGAGAGAATCATGTTGTCTTTGGAGAAACAGGACATGCATGTTGGCAGATGGTGAGCAGAAGATGGAAAGGGTAAAAAGATGTGCAGCTGACAGACATTCTCTATAAGTTCAGAGTCTGAGGTGGCTGTCTGGGCCTCTTGGGAAGAGCTAGCAGAAGAGAGCACTTGGACTGACCACAAACATGGAAGGACTTACAGGGTTCATCTTCTGTTTTCTGGAAATACTTTGTCAAGCTATTAGGGATGAGTGAAGGAGCAAGAATGACCAAGTCCTTAATGGTTTTCCCCCTCTAGAATTACTGAAGCCCATGGAATTATGATATGTCAAGAGAGCCTCCCTTCCTTTTTTTTTTTTTTTCTATTCCAATAACTACTTTTTAAGTGCTTCTTTTATGCCAAGCACTTTATTATGTGTTGAGGATAAGCCGCTTGGTTTTTGCTAGATATTAAGTACTAACTTGTCCTCAGAATTAAGATCAAGGCCTTGAGTTTGGGAATACTTTTATTAAGGTTATTAGTTAGGGTGAGATTTTATTGAGGGATGTATTAGAAATGACACAGGGTCTAGAGTTAGGCCAAAGTTCAAATCTCAGTCCTGCCTCTTAGTATCTATGTGTAAATCCCTTTTGAAATGACATTTTTGGCCAGATGCGGTGGCTCACGCCTGTAATCCCAGCACTTTGGGAGTCTGAGGCGGGTGGATCATCTGAGGTTGGGAGTTCGAGACCAGCCTGACCAACATGGAGAAACTCCGTCTCTACTTAAAAAAAAAATACAAATTAGCCAGGTGTGGTGGTGCATGCCTGTAATCCCAGCTACTTGGGAGGCTGAGGCAGGAGAATCACTTGAACCCGGGAGGCAGAGGTTGCGGTGAGCTGAGATTGTGCCATTGCACTCCAGCCTGGGCAACAAGAGCAAAACTCCGTCTCGAAAAAAAAAAGAAATGCCAGTTTTATAATTTGTAAAATGGAAGTAATACTGTCTACCTCCTGGACTTGTTTCAAGGGTTAAATGAAATAATGTGGGTCAGATACACATTAGTGTACCTTAGCAGAAGGTCAGGTATACAGTAGTGACTATTACTATGAGTATTTTTAGGGCCCATTTAAACTAAAGTCTTAGTTTGGTGTAGTCATTTTTGCTGGTTCATAAAAGATAATAAGATTGGATTCTACAAGCTTTCTCAGAAAATAAGTGGTGTGTTTGAGCCCTTAGTTTTTCTTTCACATCGTTTTTTTCTTGCTTGTTTAAGTTTTAAGTACTTTATATAGAAAATTAGAAATTTGAGAGTCACGTAAAGGAGCAAGGAAAAGTCTCCTAAAGACCTACTGTCTAGAAAACTGTGTCTTAAACTTTTCTGAATCATAGACACCTGTAAGAATCTGATAAAAATGACCTGTCATCCCCCTAGAAAAAGTGAACTTTTGCACATATAGAAAAATATTTTCTTACAATTCCAGGAGTTTCCATTTATTTACCCCAAAGTTACAAAACCCTAACCTGACTTTCAACCACAAATTCCACAGGTGGAAAACAGTCAGCCCAGGCTCTGATTTACACTGCTGTGAGGGCTTCTGAATCCCTTGGTTCTTACAGTCCGGCTGCTCTATTTTTTTAGTCTTATTTTTTGAGGGCTAACTCCTTAAAAAAAGAATCGGCTATCTTTGATTATCTTTTGCAGTATAATTACCAACTGGACCCTCATCAATGAACTTTTTAATAGCTTAACTTCTGATTTCCTTGTGTATGCATGTTTTTGTTTGTGTGTCTCAATAAACTCAAGAGAGAGATTGTGGAGCCTGTCTTATGGGTGGAGGAGGAATATACTATTTTTCCCTGTTTTTCTTTACCTGTTCGTTCTGCCCCAGGGCACTGTGCTGAGGCCTTTCACGGGCTTCCACTGGCAGTCAGAGAAGAGAGACCAGGGTGGAGGGTCTCAGGTCCACCTGATCTGGCAGTTAAGGGAGCAGGCAGGGTTTGGAATGTCTCCCCCGTTACTTTCCTCTCCGTTCCAGAGTCATTCAGCTCTAGAACTGTGTCAGGATGGGACTCTGGATTGGTGGAGGAATCATGTGCAGTCCGTACAGCTTGGAGGTGGGTGTCTGCAGCCCACATGCTGTACTGTACTTTATTTTCTTGGCTCTGGTGTATGAATTCCACAGAGAGAAAACAACCACCCAGGCTCTGTTTTCACATTCACATTCACATTCACATTAAGGCTTCTGGATCTCTTGTTTCTTGCAGTCAGGTTGCCCTTTATTTTAGTCTACAAAGACATGTGTTGCCTGTCTTTCCTGAAATCAGCAGCCCTTGTTGAATGGGCCTGGCTTTAGATAAACCCGTGTGTTGTATATAGAGTGCAGGCTGAAGGCAAGGGGCCTCAGGACTGTGGAAATGTGGTGCTGCTATTGCCATTATTTACAGCCCTGCCTTCTTTCTTTCTTGGATTATTATCAGGGCCTCCAGCTGTTCTCCCTGCATGTAATCTAGCTTCTACCCTGCATCCAAAATTTCATTCAAAAATGCCCATCTGTTGATGTCATTTCCCTGTTGAAAACTTCTCAGTGGTGCTACACCTGGGATAAAGTCCCAGATTGTTTACGTGACTTACAGGGCTTGTCAGGCCCTGGCCCTATTTACCTCTCCAGCTTCCTTCTTCTTACTGTTACTCCATGTACCAGCCACACCAACCTCTTGCCATTTTACCAAAATTTATTCTTTTGGTACTTTCCTCTCTTTGCACGAATGGATTCCAGATTCAGCTCATCCTTCCTCACCTTTGCTGCCTGTAGAACTCTTCCTCATCCTCTAATGCCTCACTCAAATGTGACCTCTTAATAGGATGCCTGACTGGAGTTCCCAGGAGAGATTTGTTGCTCCCTCCTCTGTGTTCTTGGGATTTAGTATAACATGGTGGTTACAAGTATGGACTCTAGAGTCAGACTCCCTGGGTTTCCACCCAACTTGGCCTTTCCTAGGTGTGTGACTGTGGGCAAAATGAATTACCTACCCTCCTGTGCTCAGTTTCTTCATCTGTAAAATGGTGATAATAGTAATAAACCTCATAGGTTGTTGCGAGGATTAAAAGACTTTAAAGTGCTTAACACAGTGTATGGCCATAGTTAGCTCTCAGGAAATGTTACTTATTGTTGTTGTTATCACAATACTTTGTGTATAACTCTATCTACTAAGCTGTTGTCACCTCTGTTTATAAACACTTTTATATATCTGCCTTACTTGTGTTCCTTAAGGACAGGCCTAGACTTGTGTTCCTTAAGGACAGGCCTAGACTTGTGTTCCTTAAGGACAGGTGCATATCTTGTTCCTTTGTCTGGCCTTGTATATGGAAGTTTACAGTAAATGTTGGTTAAATGAGTGATTGCACACAGATTTTCCTTCAAAATGGAAGTGGGCAATAGAGTAAGGAATACTTAAGGCTAGGTTTGTAGGTGATCACACATCCAAAGTTGATGTGACTTTGATATTACCTGGTTTATCCTCTTCTGCGCCTGAATCCCTTCTGCTGCCTCCTGGAGCCCAGGTAGTGCTTTTATGTTTCCAAGACAGGGCAGGAGGCCATGTGGAAGGTAAACATATCCCATATGACCTTTTTGTTTTTGTTGTAAACTCTAGGTGACATGTCTGAGAGTAAAGCCAAAAAGATAGAAATCAAGGACGTGGATGGGCAGACACTGAGTAAGCTGATTGACTACATCTATACTGCTGAAATCGAGGTGACCGAAGAGAATGTCCAGGTAAACTCAGGCTCACTAATAGCTCAGTGTATTGCACACTCAGGACCCACCGTTTTACAGTGTTATTTTATTTAACCTTCACAACAATTCAGTTGGTTACTGAAGGGGAAACTAAAGCTCCAGGGAGGTCAGGTGACCTGCCCTGGGCCACATGGCCAGGAGGTGGGCCAACTGGTCCTCAAACTCATGCCTTCCTGGCTTGGGCACCCATGCTCCTAGCCACTAGGCCATGATATCCCTGAATGAGCCTGGACCCTGGGAGTAGAAAGTCTTTGACTCATGTCTGTTCAAAATCTTGTGAAGGAAAAGCTGGGAGCTTGAGTGACTCCTCTTCTCCCCAGGTCATCATCTCATCTCAGAATTCAAACAGCTCAATAACTTTTGGGTACGAACAGTAAATGCAAAGTAATTTGGTATAAAATGAGTAGAGGGGAGGTAATAGAATTCTATAATTGGGACCAGCTCTCTTTGCTCCTTTCATCATGTATTTATTTAATAACTTTTTTTTTCCTGTAAAATACAAAGTGTTTCCAAATTTGGATAATTAGAAGATATTCTACTCTGGATCCTTATTGCCTGGTTAGGATTAAGAGGTACATAAAGCAAGGTATAGTTTGTGTGGACATAATGTTCACTGTTTGGAGGTCCTGAGTCCAGAAGCTTCTGTCTTATGAGGTTGCGTTATGTCACCCTCCCAGCATATGGATGCTTTCACCAAACTGAAAATTCTCTGAACTTCATTGTTTAGGGACTTTTAACCTCTTCACTTTAAACTGTGGTTAGGTCAAGGGTGATGTTGGAGAAAAAATAAAAAAGATTGGGAAGGGGCTGGGCATGGTGGCTCACACCTATAATCCCAGCGCTTTGGGAAGCTGAGGCAGGCAGATCACCTGAGGTCAGGAGTTTGAAACTAGCCTGGCCAACATGGTAAAACCCCATCTCTACTGAAAATACAAAAACTAGCCAGGCGTGGTGGCAGGTACCTGTAATTCCAGCTACTTGGGAGGCTGAGGCAGGAGAATCACTTGAACCTGGGAGGCGGAGGTTGCAGTGAGCCAAGATTGCACCAATGCACTCTAACCTGGGTGACAGAGCGAGACTCTGTCTCTGGGGAAAAAAAAAGATTGGGAAGAAGAGAGTTTGGATCAAAATGTGGATTCTTCTCCATGCTGTTATGTATCTGCTGAGGCAGTTGCTCACAGGTTGTCTGTGAAGACAGGAGGTATTGAGGATTTGGTGCACTGAGGAGATGAGCATGGAGGCACTGGGGCTCTCCTGAAAGCCTTAGAAACAAGGGTCAGAGATCTGGGACTTGGTTAAATGGCTGAGAGCTATACCCCGAGTCGCTTCCCAGCCACATATACCTTGGAGAGACCCTGAGTTCCCCTTCCATGGTGGAGGTACCAGCAGTCATAACTGACTTACTTTTATAAGCAAGCATATGCCCATCAATTCACATGCATTATTCCATTCAATTTTTATAATCACCCATTGGACCATACCAATATGATCCCTCCTTTACAGCTTGAAGAAACTGGTGCTCAAAGGGGTTAAATAACCTGCCATGGTCACATAGAGAGTAAGTAGTAGAGTTGGGAGCTGAAGTCAGTCCCCGCTGACTCACTGTGCTCTGTGGCTATGATGAATTCTAGTTTCTCATTAAATGAATGATCAGAACCTTGACTTTGGCTCATAATGATTTACAATAATAAAAACTAACATCAGCTGAGCACTTCCTATGTACGAAACACTGTGTTAACTGCTTTCAATTTTTCTCATTTGATCCTCATAACAAACCTTATTGTCCTCATTTTATTTTTGAGGAGACAGAGGCATTGAGAGGTTAAGTAATTTGTCCTCAGTTGCATGGCTGGTAAGTGGAGGAGTCAAAATTCAAAATGACACTTAATCACAGTGCTGTTCTATCAGCTTCCCTGTTCATCTATATACCCCCCACCCCTTTTCCTTTCTTTCTTTATGTGGCACTGATTCTGTGCCAGACCCACTGTGTGGTTGGGGCAGAGACCCTGGGTGGCCCCAAAACCTGGGCCCCCTGGCTGGTGCCCTCCCTCTGTGCATGGCCCTGCCTCCCTGCAATTCCAGGAGAAGGTGCTTTCTGAGGCAGGGCATTTCCTTTTGTTTTTACTAAAGGAAGCAAACTCTGTGGCAGGATATCCTCTGCTATGTTTTCATGTTATCTGAGAGAGAGAGAAAAAAAAAAAAGGGGCCTGCACATGAAAAATGGAGGGGAAGCCATTGCAAGCTGAAGGGTAACCTGTAAACTCTTTGCCGGGGGCCATTTCAGGGCCTGTTTTCCAAGAACTGTAATGCTGAGGTGGCAAAAGGCAAGCTAGAAGATTTTTGACTTAGGGTAATCTTCCATCCTGATGGGTGGTTTTGGCCAACTACTCCTCTGATCTCAGCCTCCTCCCTCCAGGGACCAGGCGGTACTGCCTTAGTGATTCTATGAGGATGGTCTTGCTTCCGAGCTGAGGACCCACGCTTGGCCTCTTGTTCATAGTCTTGTCACTGCTGCTGCTTTGAAGGAGTAGAGTTTTAGGCAAGATAAAAGGAAGTCCTCTCAAAGTCCTGTTGATGTGAGGAGCGGGAACTGAAGACAGTCATTTCATGGATGTGTTGCTCTTTTTTCTTTCAGAGCCTCCGGGAATGTGTTTTGTACTTGTGTCTAGATCCCAGAACCCCATTGGATGGGGCCCTAATTTATCCCTGAGACTGAGTCTGAGCAGTGATACATCTTCCAGCCTCCAAGCCTTCCCTTCAGTATTCTGATTTCCTTGACTTTTTTTTCCATACCTTTCTGTATGAAGCAAGTAGAAGGAAGAAAAGGGCCTTTGACTCTAAGCTAGTCTCATAGTCAAAGAGAGGGAAAGAGCAATTAGAGAAACCAGAAGCCTAATTCATTTTAGGAAGTCAGTTTGGGAAGGCTTTTGGGTAGGAGAGGACTCAAACAGGATAAGGTGTGTGGAGTGGTAGAAATCCTTATAGTTTTTGCCTACTAAGTAGGTATTGTGAACAGTAGGGAAGTTGAAAGCTATGTGGATAGCTCTATCCAGGGAGGTTTTAAAAATTGAAATTGTAACCTAAGGAGTATATTCAGGAAATATTTATTATTTCATTTCTCTGGCTGGTTGTCATGAGCTTGAGAATTTAAGCACCACACTGTGCTGCTGTCTCCTTGGAAGAGGGGAAGGGGGAAGGGACTGTGTGTCACTGGCATGATCTTGTGTATGTGTATAGGTTGGGGGAGCTCACTGGAATGCAGTCTGGGGGCAGATTGGACTCTCAGAAATTCTCTTGGGTGGTGGGTGATGGGGAGAGGGTTGCTGTTGAATTCCTGCCTCTTCTCACATCTGGCCCTTTTGGAGTTTACCACACCTCTGAGTAGGGTGTGTGCTGGCTAACATTTGATGGCTTCCTCTCCCTCCGGGGCTTCTTAGGGTCACTGGTTAGAGGTTACTTCTCCCTAGGATGAACACCTAGCCTAGTTTGCCCAGAAGTGAAAGGCCTTCTGGAATGGGGACTTTCAGCGGTAAAAATGGCGAAGTCCCAGGTAAATCAGCATGATTGGTCAACCTATGGCCTTAACTCCAGTCTTAACTCTAGCTGATACTGGCCAGGGGGCATCATGGAGGTCATTTGGAGACTGGGGGCAGAACTTTTTATTCCTGGTGTGCATTCAGCAAGAATGGTTAATGGATCTCCATTTGACTAGCAGGCAGAGACTAATCTGGTCCTGGAATCTGTTCGGCCAGGCTGAGCAAGCTCACAGGTTAATTGAGTTTCCCAGTTTATGTCTGCTTAGTGGGGATGGTGGCTGCTTAGTGGGGATGGTGGCTGCTTAGTTGGGAGAGAGTTCAGGTGGTTAGATTAGATTTGGATCCTACCTGTGTTCATTTATAGTCCAAAACTTTCAGAAGAGGGTGATTTTATCTTTTTCTTGCTCAGGAATGTATTAGTGGTTCAGAAAATATCACAGACATGGTGTTAATTTACTGTTTTCCTGCTGGGGATATAGGATAGTGGAAGAGAGGGTGGAGGAAGGGAAAAGGAGCACATTTTCTAGAACTCAGCTGTCGTGAGGGAGAAGTGTAAGCCTGTGGGTAGGAGCAGCTTTCCTTGTTGAGCATAGGCATTTGGCTCAGGAGTTCGAGCACTGATAGTGGAGGCTCTTGGTGGTTATTGTCTGTGGGCAGGGATAATGAAGGGTGACCGACTGTCCCACTTTTAGCCCTGAAAGTCCTGGGAAACCCCCCAGTCCTGGAAAAACTAGGACTGTTGGTAACCCCAGTGGAGGGACAAAGCCCCCAAATGGGCAGTGGGGCAGAGTTTTTGGCCTGAGTACATAAAAGTGATGAGAGTCAGAGCTGAGGACTCAGACCTGTCTTGGGAGAAAGTCAGAGTCCAGAATTTAAATCACTTTAAAAAAAAAGAGTCTTTTTTAAGTGTCCTGAATCAAGAAAACAAATACATCTGCAGCCCATATCTTCCTGGGCAAGCGCTTGTGGATGGGAACAGCTAGAGTGTAGCTGGCTCAGTCACTCTGTCTCAGAGCCAGGGCAGCAGCTAAGAGCAACGGACTGGGGCAAGGGGATTATTCTGGGGTGAAGTGGATGCCGGGGTCCCCAAGATAAGCAGCCTTAAATCAAGCTATTTTGCAGTGTGTTTTTAAAATAAATTTCTTTTTGGAAAATAATTCTCAGACTATCTGCTGCTTCCATAGGTGAAGGTCAGGGTAGCAGAGCTGAAGTGGGACAGGACTTTGGCCTTTTGTCCTGTATGTTTGACCTAGACGCAGGCTTCAGCAGCTGAGGGAAAGTCCTAGGGAAACTTGACAGAGGTTGGCTGTCTGAGCACCCAGCGGGCCTGCTCAAGCCAGTCTTCCCTGACCCTTAGGAAAAACACATGCACATATACCTGAGCAAGAACTATTTCTGTCTTCCAGCATATAGTATAAGTAGTCATGTGTCCTGTGACCTTTTAAATGGAAACTTAGCCATCCTTTCTCTAAGAATGTACCCAAAGATGTTCTTTGCTTTGTATCTGTTCAATGGGAGAATGAAGTGTCGTTGCTTGAGTCCTGAGGGATTTGGGATGAATTTTGTTCCAGTAGACTCTAAGCTCCAGGAGAATAGGGTCTGGTTTCTCTTGCTTACCCCTGAATCCCAGAGCCTAAACTAGTGCCTGGCACATAGATGTTCAGTAATTAATAATTCATTAAGTACCTTTCTGAATGAGGACAGTACACTGAAGGTTGTGGGGCAGTGGCTCTCAAATGTGGCTGCACATTAGAAGCACCTGGGGAGCTTTAAAAACCATCTTAATGTCCAGGCCACACTCTATACCTATTAAGTTAGATTCTTTTAGGGCAAGACCCAGGCATCAGTAGTTTTAAAACTCTTAAGGTAATTCCAGTTTGCAGCCCAGCATGAGAACCATTGTGTGTGTGTGTGTGTGTGTGTGTGTGTGTGTGTGTGTGTGTGTGTGTGTAGAGTTTTGTTACTCAGAGTGTGGTTTGTGGACCAGCAACTGCAAGTATCACTTGGGTTCTTATTAGAAATGCAGGCTCTCAGATCCCATCCTAGACCTAATGAGTTAGAATCTGTATTTTAATGAGATCCCCAGGGAATTAAAGACTGGGAAGCATGGCTGTAGGGATACAGAGAATCTGCTGGTGTTTAGGGTCCATGAAGTGCAGAGTAGTGGGAAATAAGGCTGGAAAGCAGGCTAGGAAGTTTGGACTTATTGGGCAGGCAGTGGAGAGCCATGAAAAGATCTTGAGCATGGAAGTGATATGATAGGGAAAAGGGGATGAGTCCCTGCCAGTAGGAGCCAATGTCTGAGAATGTCACTTTCTCTTGCAGGTGCTGCTTCCGGCAGCCAGCTTGCTGCAGCTCATGGATGTTCGGCAGAACTGCTGTGACTTCCTGCAGTCTCAGTTGCATCCCACCAATTGCCTGGGCATCCGTGCGTTTGCAGATGTGCACACCTGCACTGACCTTCTGCAGCAGGCCAATGCCTACGCAGGTAAGGGGGAGCTGGACTGCTGCACCTCCTCCGAGTTTGTGGATCTAATCACCTGGTCTTCTGCAGACTCCTCAGAGATTATGAGAAGTGGTCTCTGCTGTGAAGCAGCTATGATTTAGGTAGAGATACAGGTGGAAAGATAATTAATGATAGGAGAGTTTAGCTCATTGCCAAGTGGAAAATGATTGATTGCCAAGGGGATGGTACAGACAGTAATTTTCACTAGAGTAGAGGAAGGAGATCCAAGAAGACTTGGGCGGTGGGGAGAGCAAACTGAGCTAGGTCTTGAGCTAGGTCTTGTTATTATTAAGAAAACTTTTGTTTTTTTCTGAGTGTTCCATGAACATTCTTTTAAAAGTCACATACTGGCTGGGCGCGGTGGCTCACGCCTGTAATCCCAGCACTTTGGTAGGCCAAGACAGGTGGATCACAAGGTCAGGAGATCGAGACTGTCCTGGCTAACATGGTGAAACCCCCGTCTCTATTAAAAATACAAAAAAAAAAAAATTAGCTGGGCGTGGTGGCGGGCACCTGTAGTCCCAGCTACTTGGGAGGCTGAGGCAGGAGAATGATGTGAACCCGGGAGGCGGAGCTTGCAGTGAGCCGAGACTGTGCCACTGCACTCCAGCCTGGGCAACAGAACGAGACTGTGTCTTAAAAAAAAAAAAAAAAGTCACGTACTATTGCAGGGCTTGTAATGATGAGGAGTGCCCTGCTCCACCTTTCCACACCAAGTCTTGTGCTCCAGAGCCACTCACTTTCAATCCTTTAGGAGTTAAAATCCTGGTTCTGATCCAGCTAAAAGCTACTTCATCTACTACTCACCTCCATTTATCAAAATAATATGTATAACTGCTATTCTTTGATTTATTAGTTTTAGATATTATTTGTTGACTTCTCCAGAAGAATAAGATTGAGCTTTCGCAGACTTTCCCCTTATACACATGCAGCCATCCCTGTCTTTATTGTCCAAATATAATTTCCACAACTGAACTAAGTCATCTATTATAATTATAGTGTTTTTTAAATCAGAAAACTTTAATCAGAAGGGCAGTTAGTAATTGTCTTTTTCTCTTGCATAGTGTATGGTTCTACCACTACTTCTTGTTAGAACAGTCCTCAATGCATCAGATAATCTGTTGGTTCACTTATTTTTCTTGGAGATGTTCTCTGTGCTAGAGCTTGTCATTCTATTATTTTAATGGGGTTTTGGGAGGGAGTAGAAATGAACATTTATATTCAGTCCACCATGTTTATTTAGCTAGCTGGAAAGAAATCTTCATTGCCACTTGTTCCAGCCTGAGGAAAGATGATGAATGACTAGGAAATAGGTCTGATCATTTAAATTGATAAATTCAGTCATGGCCACCTTCTTCCCTTGCAATAAAGCACCTCCTTCTTCCCCCTGCTCAAGCACTGTCATGGCTGCTATTCTGTTCAGTGTCTCCTGTTCAGCCAGTGTCTGGAAATTAGCTGAGGACCTGCTGGCTGCCCACCTGCCAGCTAGCTACCTGTGCTGTGCTAGCCTTTTGGTCAACAAAGCAACAAGCATTTGCTCTGTTCCTTGGCATGCTTTTTCTCTCTGATTAAGTCCCTGACCCCAGGAGCCTGCAGAGACTCTTATGTCTCCCTGCAGCCTGTTTCTGAAGGCACAAGCAAGTCTTCTTTCTGAAGACTTGTAAAGATAGTCTTTATATGATGATTTTTGTGAAGGACATTACCCAGTAGCCTCAATTCTGAGTCCTGCTGATTCTTTCTGGTTCTGAACCTTGACCCTTCTGCCTCTCTGCTGTTCCTGTGCTCTCTTTTCCCTGCATATTCTCCACTGCCTTTCCACCTTCGCTTAGGGAGCCCTGGGGAGGGTTCCCAGTGAAGCCTTTGAAGAGGTCACTTTCTAGATGGATGGATGTGCTAAGGCTTTGCTTTAGCAGGAGCCAAGCTCTTTGCTAAGGCAAACATTTTCTCTGCAGATTGTTTTCACAAATATTTGCTAGTGCAGTGGCAAAGGGAGAGTGCTTAGATGTCAGAAATTCTCTGTCTCCTTCTTCTGCATCTCTTCTTGCCAGCCCTCTCCTTCCACATAGTGTGTGCATACATGTGTGTGCACACCTAGCACATATCCCGCCCTAATTGGCTGGTATGGTTGTCTGAGGTTTGGGGAGTATACTGAATCCCCACCTTTTTTAAAATTTAAAATTACATTCTAGATTCAAGAGGTACTTGTACAGGTTTGTTACATTTGTATATTGTGTGATGCTGAGTTTTGGCTTCTGTTGATCCCATTACTTAGATGGTGAACATAGTACCCAATAGGAAATTTATCAGCCCTTGCCCCTACTCCTTTTGGAGTCCCCAGTGTCTGTTGTTCCCATCTTTATGTCCATGGGCACCTGGGGTTTAGTTCCCACTTACAAGTGAAAACATGATATTTGGTGTTCTGCTTCTGTGTTAATTAACTTAGGATAATGGCCTCCAGCTGTGTACATGTTCCTGCAAAGGACATGATTTTGTTCTTTTTTTTATGGCTGCATAGTATTCCATGGTGTGTATGTACCACATTTTCTTTATCCAATCCATTGTGGATGGACACCTAGATTGATTGCATGTCTTTGCTATTGTGAATAGTGCTTAATGAACGTATGTGTGCATGTGTCTTTTGGTAGAACAATTTATTCTCCTTTGGGTATATACGCAGTAATGGGGTTGCTGGGTCAAATGGTGGTTCTATTTTTAGTTCTTTGAGAAATCTCAAGACTGTTTTCCACAGTAGCTGAATTAATTTACATTCCCACTCGCAGTATATAAGCATTCCCTTTTCTCTGCAACCTTGCCGGCATCTGTTGTTTTTTGACATTTTAATAATAGCCATCCTGACTGGTGTGAGATGGTATCACTTGGTAGTTTTGATGTGCATTTCTCTAATGTGAATCCCCACCTTTAATAGGGCTCCCAGGCTCTTCTGGCCTGTCTTTTCCCAACTTTCAATGTCTATGTTTTCTCCCTTTGCCCCTTTCACTCTATGATGATGAGACTCATCTGTGGGAGAGTGCAGCAGATGCAGCTAGGAACACATCCATCATTCTGGTGTTCCTTGGTCCTGTTGCTGTCATAGTGATTGTGTTCTGTCCACATTATGGGTGTGTGTATGCAGACATCCTGATGAATTATTCTTAGCCAGTGTTTCTTGAGCTCTCCCTTTGGGTCATACCCTATGCTAAGCATTTTATTGGCATCATCCCATTTAATGCATATGATAGCTGAGGAAACCAGGGCATAGAGAGGTGAAGTAATTTGTTGAGGTCACATCGTGACAGATGGGACAGAAGGCAGGATTCAAGCCCAGGCAGTGCTGACTCCAGAGCCAGTGTTTATTACATTCTACAGCTTCTAGGCCCAGTTTGGACATAAGGACGCCCTGTGAATCAGTAACTGAGGAGTGCATGTGGCTAGAGTTGGCATTTTCCATTGAAAGCATGTTCCTGGAAGCCTGTGCAATGTAGTCACCAAATCCCAACAACCAGACAGTGTAGACAGACATCCAGCTGTCCGCTAGACACAGGGTATGTCGTCATCTTGGGATGGAGGAAGCACCATGTGGGTGCTTCTGTTCCCTGTCAGGTGACTTCCTCCCAGACACATGGAGCCTGTTCCCTCACTGCATGAGTGAGTAGGCCCTCCTACTTTCCCTGGCTGGGTCAGCATGATCTTCAGGCTGAGAGTCTCCTCCCTGTTATGTAGGCCTTCTGTGGAGCCTGTGATCCTCTCCTGGGTAGCTTTCTCTGCAGCCCACTCTGCTCTGCACACTAGGGAGGTAATATTTTTAAAGTAGTATAATGCAGAAGATAAGGCTATGATGCAAAGATGTTAGAAGAAGGGAATGAAGGTTAGATTTTGCAGTATTTAGAGAAGAAGTAGAAAATGATTATCTATGCTTACACACTTGAACCCACCCACTGATGTGGGCCTGCTTTTTTCCTCGTACCCTTGACTTTAGATGGAGCCTGGGGTTCTCTGCCATCGCTGCCTCTTGAGACAGACCTGTGACCTCACTCTACTGTAAGTGCAGGGGTGCAGGCACCCACTAGGGTCACACACACGGGAAAGCATTGGTCTCTGTGGTCAGAGGCCTCCCTGGACCCAGGCCTTGTGTTAGAAGGTACTTCATGCCAACAAACTACAAGGAGACCTTCCAGATCAGAACTAGGAATCAGACCAGCTAACACTTTGGAGCTGAATAATCCTGAGCCTATTTTCTCCTCTCTATCCTGGGAGTAGCACATCCTATTCTGTTTCCAGGATCATCTGGGGAACAGGGGGAATGGGGAGGAGAGCATTCTATGGAAGTAGACACCACTGGGGCTGTGCTGTGGAGCCTCCCTCCCAGCCTCATCATCTGCAGTGAGGGAGCCTCAGAGTTGGGTCCAGGCAGGAGAGACAGGAATCCTCAGGTCACTGCTGTTGCAGACCACATGCACTTTGTGGGAAGAAGGATTTCCAGTACTTCTGGTTTTGGTTTCTCTTTATCTAGATGTCTACTGCAGGCAGGTATGTTCTGTGCAGCCTCCCCTACTCTTCCCAGTTTCTGGCTAGCATTGCTTTGCCTTCACTTGTCTGTAGATTCCAGTTTTGCTGCTGAATCCTCTTTCTTTTCCTTCTCTAAAAAGCTTTCTTTTTTGTTGTTATTATTGTTGTTGTTATTGCTATTTTAATAAAAACTCATCCCTGACTATTATAGAAAAAGCACACGGGTGGGAAGAATATACCACAATCCTACCCAGAGAGAACTGCCAGCAGCACCTTGATGTGTATCCTTCCAGATCTTTTTCATTGTACATGTATGCTTTCCAGTTTAAAAAAATTCTAGCCAGGTACAGTAGCAGGTGCCTGTAGTCCCAGCTACTTGGGAGGTTGAGGTTGATAGCTCAAGCTATCATGCATAGCTTGAGCCCAGGAATTTGAGTCCAGCCTGGGGAACATAGCAAGATACCCCATCTCTTAAA